AAGGACATGGGCGTCGCCACCGCCCACAGGAGCCCGCCGCACGGCCCGGGGAGCGCTCGGGGCGTTCGCATGCTGCTCGAGCAGATGTGCCTGCAGATCTGCTAGGGTCTCGAAAGGGCTCCCCAATCGGACATGCTAGCTCCAGAGACTGCGATCCAGGGCACAACGCAGACCGTGTCATCGAAGCCAAGGGACGCATCAAAGATGGGGGCTCCACAACCTCGTGGTAGAAAGGGGGCCGCTGGACGGGGCATCGACGAATCAGGCACGCACTCACTGCGTGCTCTTGCGCGATCCGTCTTGTCCTGAAGGTACTAGAACAGTATACGCATCGGTTGGTAATGATAAGGGAACGAATGATGGACCGGCATCCGTCGCCAGAGTTTTTTCTGGAACTTCTGATGGGCGAGCAGCGGCCGTCTCGTAGCGAACTCGCGCCCGCGCAGGGCACCCTCGACGCCGAGCAGCTCGCAGCGCCAGATGGCTGGCGGCGGCGGAGGGCCCCCCCCCGTCTCTCTCGGCGGCTGCCAGCCAGGCGGCGGGATCGCCACCGTGCGCGCCTGCGCCCTCAGCAGCCCAGGGTCGTGCACTAGGTAGCGCTCCCGCAGGTCGTCATTGAAGAACAACGCGACGACATTGAGCGAGCCCTTCGCCGTCTGCAAGTCCTCACGCAGCTCGCCGTCGCCCGCAACCGTCAGCAGCGCCTCCACGTCCTCGACGAAGCGCAGCGCGCGCGGGTTGGCGTCCACAGCCACCGAGCCCTCCTCGTCGAGCGTCGGCGTCGGCTCCAGCGGTAGTTCGCCGAACATGACCGCGAGCTCCTGCGGGCGTCGATCGGGAGCGCGAAGCCATCGCTGATATTGTCGAAGTCGGCGAACCCGTAGTTCCGTAGCCGTGGAGGCCATCCCGAGCCTCTTCAGCACCGCGGCGTCGGACATCGCCTTGTAGCGGACGAGCAGCTTGCCATTGTCGGCCTTATGCACGCCCGCGTCGTCGAGGGGCGGGATCTTCTGGCAGGCGGCCCCCTTCAAAAGGCGGCGTCCGAGACTGGAGAGCACCTCGTCGATCTGCTGCTGCTGCGACGCGCTCAGGACTAGAACGCTGAGCCCACTCAGCGCGGCCTCCTGCACGACCGACCCGAACGCGATCCTGGTCAGGCGCCAGATGCGGTTGCGCGCCCAGAAGCGACCCATGCTGCAATAACCCCTGCGGGCAGCTTGCAGGCGTCGCCGCAGCTCGGCCTGCGCGCCCCCCGTGATAGATGTCTGGATGCCCAGCGCGATGTTGTCGCACTGCCCGACCCCCGCGATGTGCTCGACCCCGCCGAAGAGCTTCCTCGTCTCGTGCTGGGCGCCGCAGCCAACGAAGCAGGGCGAGACCGAGCTCTTGGACGGATTGTGTGTGTAGCCGTAGAACCCCAACGCCCGTCGCAGCTCGCGGTGCGAGTGCCTGGAGACGAAGCCCGCGTTCCTGGCAGAGGTGACAACACTCGTGTGGTTGGTGTCGTCCGCGTAGATCCTCGTCCCAAGCGGTGCGGCGACCTCCAGGAGCGGGCACCACGCTGTGCAGATCGTCTCGCTCGGCCAGATCGTGGTGTCGATGTCAGCGCGGGGCGTCGGAGGTAGAAGTGGTTGCCGCTTCCACTCGTGGTAGGAGGTCGGCTGGTCGGGCATCTCATACGCGGCCCAGGCCGCGCCTCGAAGTCGCTGGAGCCACTCCGTAATAAGTGCGCGGAAGGTCCTGGCGAAGAAGAGCGCCGCGGGGGCGTCGCCCATGAAGGCTCCGCAGCGGTTGCGCATGTCCTGGTCGCCATCCCCCCCCCCGCGCAGAAGGTGCTGAGCTCGTGTCGCTGGTGGAAATACCCCTGCTCCTCTGGGCGCACGGCGGTCGTGACCGCCTGGCGCATGGCCGCGAGGGTGGAGGACCCGAAGGCGTTGCTCATGTCCTCCTTGGTGGTGAGGGTTGAGATGCCGAGACGGCGAAGGCGACCATTCAGCCCCTCCTGGCAGAGGAGCGCGCCCTCACGGTTGCGCCCTCGCTGATGCCCGTGTTCCCTGGGCGCAGGGGCATCGCGCGCAGCGCGATGTAGTTGCGCCTTGAACCATGATGTACCAACTCGGCACAGGCCGTGAATGAAGCGCTTCGCGTGAAAGCCCGTCTTCCCGTTGTGCTTGTCGAGACCTGTGGCGAAGGGGTGGCGCCAGATCAAGGGGGCGCGCTGCGCGCGTCCGATGTGGGCCAGGATAGCCTTGAACGCTCGTTCGGTGATGGGCGTATCAATCTCCTCAGCGTCGTTCCCGAGCCCGCGCCGATCGCCTACGAGTCGATGCCGAGGCTGAGGCGCAGCTCGAGCCAGCTCGCCCCCCTCTTCATCCCCAGGGCGTCGTGGTCGCCGCCGTCGTCTACCATCATATCGACGCCACGGTTCAAGAGCAAGCCGTAGAACCTCGGTCGGCACGCTGTGAGGCGGAGCAGCTCGGCGTCGGGGAGACTTCGAGATCACCTCTATCAGCTTCTCGAAGTCCTCCCGTGCAATATCGGGGTGGTCGTGCGCGAACATCGGCGCCCTCGGCAGCGCCTCCAAGTAAGCCTGGCGATACTCTTCGAAGTTGATCGGGACTGCACCGAGACCGCCGCCGGCACCATCCTGCTGGAAATGCTGCACAATCTCGGCGCGCCGAGGGAGGAAGCAGGCCCCGACGTTGTAGCGCCGTCTCCTCGGCCCCTTGCACTGGGCCGCGAGCTGATGCCCCAGGCGCCACACCTCCGCGAAGTGTCTCTTCTGCCAGGCCTCATACAGATCATCGACAATCATCTGCACCTCGGACTCGAGCCACGCCTTGCGATGATAGCGTAGTCGGCGGGAGGCTCTCGCAAGTTCCATCTCCACGGTGCCTGGGTCGCCATGTTCTCGAAGGTCACGTCGCTCGGCCAGCAGACGGAAACGCTCACCTCGAAGCGCTTGCACACGAGGGGAAACGGGGGTGCGTCCCGCAAAGTGACGCTCAGCCACTGTCGACACCTGCGTCATCCAGCGCTCCCAGGCTTCGTCGGGAGCCTTGGCATCGCACAGCTCGTGGAAGTAGTCGGGATGGCCGCTAAAGGCCTCCTCGAGGTCGCGTGCGAAGGCCGCCGCAAGCTCTGCAGCGCCTGCCCAAGGCGATGGAAGTCCCAGATCTTCCTTGGTCGCGCCTGCGGGGCCTGCAGCGCATAGACGACCTTCATCAAGATAGGGACATGGTCCTGTAGCCCAGGTCGGGGGATGAGCTTGAGACGCCTGTTGGCACTCTTCAAAAGCATAACCGTCGTCACCGAGGGCATCTGCCACGCGAAGACGGCCACGTGATCTATGAAGGAGGCCGGCTTCGCACCGTGCTAAGTGGGACCCACCTCGAAGTCGCTGGTGACAATACGGAGCGCGAAGCGCTCCATCAACTCCAGCATTTTCTCCGAGGCGTAGTGCTGGACCTCGCGCCCATGCGGGCCCAACGCGTCCGATGTGACTGCCTGGTACACTTGATGGCCCGGATGTCGTAGCCCCAGCCCGTCGTTGAGGTCGAATCCGAAAAAGAGAGCAGAGCGCCCACGCGCCCATGTCAATACTTTCTCTACCCAGTCCACTATCGCATCGACCGTGGCCCTGTACGCCTGGTGCTGCTTGTTCACCGTCGTAGTCTCGGCCGCCTGCCTCCGACTCGTCGGCCGAGGGGGAAAGTAGGCCATGGGCACCAGGATGTCGAACCTGCCGCTCCTGAGCCTCGTCAAGGATGCACGCCCACGCAGCCTCTGCGGCACAGGAAGTGTGTCCACCAAGTGCTGCGTTCGAGACGTCCGCCGCCTCAGTAGAATAGTACACCCGCAGCTCTTGTTGGTATGCGGGCTGGGACTCCAGCCCGATCTGAGGGCGGTGTGGTACGGCAAGGTCGAACGGATGGTGTCCACCTCGCCGCGCCGCTCGCCCGTCCCTGTCAAACAAACCACGTCCACGTAGCGAAACTCAGCAGAAATATCACAAAGTCTCTCCTCAGCGCTGGCATTCTGAGCATTCCAGTGAATATACTTCATCGCGTCAAACTCGAGCGCAGACCAGAGCGCCCAGAGGAAACATCGCCAGCACGGCAGCCGCCGCATCGCCGCGGGCCGCCGCCTCACCGTGGGGAGGACACGCCATGCGGGCGCGAGGTATGAATGCGCATCCTTCTGCGCTGCCGCCCCTGAATCGCAGCCTCGGGCAAGGGGGGCTTGGACGACGAGGAGGAGGAGGAAGAGGAGGAGGAGGAGGAGGAGGAGGAGGACGAGGAGGAAGAGAGAGAGAGGACGAGCAGGAGGAAGAGGCGGGTAAGGAGGAAACACTAGAGGAGGAAAACGAGGGGGAGGAGGAGGAATAAGAGAGAAGCAGTAGGGAACACACAGAGGAGGAAGACGAGGAATGCGGAACGAGGAAAATGAGGAGAAGGAAGGAACGGAATAGGAGGAGGAGGGAAGAGGTAGGAGAGGAGGAGGGACATATCGGTGGAGGACAACGATGATGATAATTCGGCTTTCGACATGCGTTGTTATGTAAGGTGTGTGGGTACGCGTTGTGAATACATGTTGTTATGTCCGATATATGATGTTGCTTTGAGATCTCATTTGTTTATGTGAGTTGCTGTTGCAAAATCACACATCTTCCAAATCCCCCAACAAAGATTGTACCAATTCCAGCTGGGGCACCCATGTCGAGTCCAAGAATGAATGTGCGCCCTTAGGACGTTCGTTCGATGCCTGGATCGTCTTAAAATGCTGTGCACAAGGAATCCTGGTGTAGGCCCGAGACGGCAGGTTGTAATTCGTGCCAGATGGTTTCTTGGTCGGTTGAGAAGTGTCCCAGTCGGTTATACTTGGTCCCAGTCGGTTGGGATTGGTCCGACATGCGGGGGCGAACCCCTGTAACGGACGTTACAAGGGTCGCTGACCCTCACCCACAACCGCAGCAGCGCCGACCAGCAGCGCCGCATGGCCTATGCAATCACAAGCAAACGCTGGCGAAAACGAGCGAAGCGATTACATCGAACAACAAAACGAACCTGCTCGGCCGCTGCAGAGCCCGCCGAATCCCGCTGCAGCTCCTCCGCGGAGAGCCTGGTCTGCAGCTCGGACACCTGCTGCCTCAACTGCTCTGCTTCTGCGGCCGCGGCAGAACTGACGCACTCGCGCTGCTGCACCTCCACTGAAAGCCTGGCCGTCAGCTCCGACACTTGCTGCCTCAACTGATCCACCTCCGCAGCTGCAGCAGAGCCAGCCGACTGTTGCTGCTGCTCCTCTGCGGAGAGCTTGGCCTGCAGCTCAGACACCTGCTGTCTCAGCTGCTCTGCCTCTGCGGCCGCAGCAGAACTGGCTGACTCCAGCTTCTGCTTCTCCACCGAGTTCGTGGCCTGCAGCTCGGACACCTGAGCGACGAAACTCAACGAGTCTTACTTGGCGGCGCGCAGAGGGGCAAGGGGCGGGGGGACGGCTTCTTAGGAGGAGGCTGCTTCTTAGCAGGCGCCGGCCTTCCATCTACAGACAAGGCCCTGGCCTTCTAAGAAGCAGGGGTGCTTCGAAGAGGCCTATCCCCCTCCCCCCACCCCCCCTTTGCGCGTGGCCGACTTATGCAAGATGGCATAGCGACCTTACGCGGTGGCTTACGCGGGCCTCCAGCGCGGTACACCGCATTGGAAACGAGAGCGCTTGCGCGCGATCTCACGCGGGCAGCTCACGCGCTCATGTCCGCACAATCGACCCCGTTTTCTTCCATCGCTCACCTGCTGCCTCAGCTGGTCCGCCGCATCCGCGGCAGTAGCAGAGCTGGCCGCCTCGGGGACCAGCAAGCGTGATCTCCCCCTCCCGATGCAGTCGGGCGACCTCCTGACCCCTGTACAGGAAACTCGAGAAAGCAAGGAATTTTTAATTCTAGGCTGTCGCGTATATATCCCAGCTCCGAGGCGTGACATAAAACAAAAAAATTAAACAAACTAGAAGGCGGAGCAACGCAGCATGAAACAAAACAAGGTTCTTGCTAGCAAGATGAAGCACCACGAAATGTTGTGGGTGCGCTCGGCATCGCACTCCTAGTTCCGCAAAGGATTACCGCAAGTGGTTGTGCCGGCGGTTTTGCTGGTGGTTGCGCTGCTGGTGTTCTGGTTATGCTGGTGGTGGTTGTGCTGTGGTCACGCTGGTGGTTGTGCGGATGATTGTGCTGGTGGCTGCGCTGGTGGTGGTTGTGCCAGTGGTAATGCTGGTGCTCATACTGGTGGTTGCTGGTGGTTGTGCTGGTGGTTGTGCTGGTGGCTGTGCCTTTGGTTGTGCTGGTGATCGTGCGGGTGGTCGCGCCGGTGGTTGTGCTGGTGGTTCTGATGGTGGTGGTCGTGCGGTTGGTTGTGCTGGTGGTTGTGCTAATGCTTGTGCCGGTGGTCGTGCGGGTGGTTGTGCGGATGATGGTGCTGGCGGTTGTGCTGGCAGTCGTGCTGGTGGTTGCGAGGGTGGCTGTGCGGGTGGTCGTGCTGGTGGCTGTGCGGGTGGTTGTTCTGGTGGTGGTGCAGGTGGTTGTGCGGGTGGTTGTGCTAGCGGTTATTGTGCAGATGGTTGTGCGGTTGGCTGTGCGGGTGGTCGTGCTTGTGGTCGTGCACGTGATTGTTCTGGTGGTTGTGCTTGTCTAGTGCTGGTGATTTTGCTGGTTGTGATTGTGCGAGTGGTTGTGCGGGTGGCTGTGCTGGTGGCTCTGCTGGTGATTGTCGTGGTGGTTGTGCTGGCAGTTGAGCTGGTGGTTGTGCGGGTGGTTGCGCTGGTGGTGGTTAAGCTGGTGGTTGTGCTGGTGGTTGTGATGGTGGTGATGCTGGTGGTAGTGCGGATAGTTGATCGGGGGGTTGTGCAGGTGGTTGTTGATGTGCTGGTGATGTTGTGTTGGTGATTGTGCGAGTGGTTGTGCTGGTGGTTTTGCTGGTAGTTGCGCTCGTGGTTGCGCTGCTGGTGGTTGTGCTGGTGGTTGTGATGGTGGTAGCGCTCGTGGTGGTTGTGCGGGTGGTTGCACGTGAGGTTGTCCTGGCGGTTGTGCTGGTGGTTGTGCTGGTGGTTGCGCGAAAGGTCGTGCTGGTGGTTCACCGGGTGATTGTGCTGGAGGTGGTGTTGGTGATTGCGAGGATGGTTGTGCTGGAAGCTGTGCTGGTGGTTACGCGGATGATTGTGCTGGTGGCTGCGCTGGTGGTGGTCGTAATGGTGGTTCTGCGGGTGGTTGTGCTGGTGGTTCTGCTGGTGATTATGCTGGTTGTTGTGCTGGTGGTTGTGCTGGTGGTTGTGCTGGTGGTTGATGTGCTGGTTGTTGTGCTGGTGGATGTGCTTGTGGTTGCGCTGGTGGTTGTGCGGGTGGTTGTGCTGGTGGTTGGGCTGGCGGTTGTGCTGGTGGTGTTCGTGCTGGTGGTTGTGCTGGTGGTTGTGCGATTGGTTGTGCGGGTTGCTGTGCTGTTGGTTATGCTGGTGGTTGAGCGGGTGGTTGTGCTGGTGGTGGTTGTTCGGATGGCTGTGCCCTTGGTTGGCTGGTGGATTTGCTGGTGGTTGAGTGGCTGATTGCTCTGGTAGTTGTGCGGGTGGTTGTGCTGGTGGTGATGCTGGTTGTTGGGTTGGTGGTGGTTAGGCGGGTGGTTGTGCTGTTGATTGTGCCAGTCGGTGAATGTGGTGGTTGTGGTGGTGGTTGTGCGGGTTGTTGTGCTAGTGTTTGTGCGGTCGGTTATGCTAGTGGTTGCGCAGGTGGATTTGTTGGTGGTTGTACGCGGGTGGTCGTGCTGGTGGACGTCATGGTGCTGGTTATGCGGGTGGTTGTGCGGGTGGTTGTGCTGGTGGTTGTGCTGGTGGTTGTGCTGTGCTGGGGCGTTGTGCTGGTGGTTGTGCAGGAGGTTGTGGTGGTGGTTTTGCTGGTGGTTGTGCTGGTGGTTGTGCTCGATGTTTTGCTGCTGGTGGTTGTACTGGTGGTTGTGGCTGTGGTTGTGCCGGCTGTTTGGCGGGTGGTTGTGCGGGTGGTTGTGTTGGTGGTAGTGCTGATGGTTGTTGTGCTGGAGATTGCCCTGGTGTAAATTTGTGCTGGTGTCCCAGCATGCGGCTGTGCTGGTGGTCGCACGAGCAATCACCGCCAACACGACCCGCCATCACAACCGCCAGCCCAACAACCACCAACACAACCACCCGCACAACCACTAGCGCAACCACAAGCATAACCACCAGAACAACCAACATCACGACGATGCCATACACATCGTCTTTTTTTAACCTGTGTTTTTTTGAATTGGACTCACGCGACAATCCTATGGCATGGAACAACGAGGCTGGGACCGGGCATGCCGTCCTAGTTGTTCTTGAACTCCCTGTAAAGAAGAGAGGACAAGATCAGTCAACACTGAATCAAGAAACCAGTTCGGACTAGAGCGTGCGTCGGATCGGGCTGTCCCGGCGCAGAGAAAAATTCGGATCGAATCCGCCGCGTCAAGATGCATCACGACGAACGGGCCGCATCGAATCGTCGGAGCGCCGCCATCGAACCGGATCGATCCCAGGATGCACAGCGACGCACGGGCCGTATCGGATCGTCGGAGTACTGGCATCGAATCGGATCGGTCGGATCGACAACCCATTCTTACCATTAGCTCGGGCATGTCCCCCATACAGGCGGATTTTGGGCGAAAAATGAAAAATGCGAAATTTCAAGCATGTCCCCCTACAGGCGGATTTTAGGCCAAAGATAACCCAAAAATCGTCCCCAGAGCATTTTTCGAAATATGTTTGAATACTCCTCCTGTAGAGGGACAGGCCCGACTTAATCCTACCAGCGGTTTCGACCGTATGTTCCGCGCGCCTCCCGCCGCTGCGCCTCAGACAGCTGCTGCCTCAGCTGCTCAACCTCCGCCTCTGCGGCGGAGCCGGCCGCCGAGCGCTGCTGCTGCTCCGCGGAGAGTGCAGCCTCGTCGCGGGGGATCTTTCCCCCCCTTCCTCCCCACCCTGGTCCTCCTCCTCCTCCTCCTGCTCCTGCCCCTCCCCCTCCTGCCCCTCCCCCTCCTCATCCTCCTGCCCCTCCCCCTCCGCATCCTCCTCCTCCTCCTCCTCAGCCCCCTCCTCCTCTTCCTCCTCCTCCTCCTCCCTCCTCCTCCTCCTCCTCCTCCTCCTCCTCCCCCCCTCCTCCTCGTCCTCGTCCTCGTCGTCCTCTTCTTCCTCTCCTTTTCCTCCTCCTCCTCCTCCTCCTCCTCCACCTCCTCCTCTTCTCCTCCTCCTCCTCCTCCTCATCATCCTTCTCCTCCTCACCATCACCATCACCATCACCACCACCATCACCATCACCATCACCATCACCATCACCATCATCATCATCACCATCATCATCATCACCATCACCATCATCATCATCATCATCATCATCATCATCATCATCATCATCATCATCATCTCATCCTCATCCTCATCCTCATCCTCCTCATCCTCATCATCATCATCATCATCAGCATCATCATCATCATCAGCATCATCAGCATCCTCATCATCATCAGCATCATCATCAGCATCATCATCAGCATCATCATCAGCATCATCATCAGCATCATCATCAGCATCATCAGCATCAGCATCGTCATCATCGTCGTCGTCAGCAGCAGCATCTTCATCATCAGCATCATCACCGTCACCATCACAATCACCACCATCACCATCACCATCACCATCACCATCACCATCGCCATCATCATCATCATCATCATCATCATCATCATCATTCGGATCATCATCATTCTCATCAACATCATCATCATAAGCATCAGCATCAGCATCATCATCATCATCAGCATCATCATCATGCTCATCAGCATAAGCATCAGCATCATCAGCATCATCATCAGCATCATCAGCATCATCATCGTCATCATCGTCGTCGTCAGCAGCAACATCTTCATCATCAGGATCATCACCGTCACCATCACCATGACCACCACCACCATCACCATCACCATCACCATCATAATCATCATTCGGATCATCTTCAATCTCATCAACATCATTATCATCATCATCATCAGCATCATCATCATCATCAGCATCATCATCATGCTCATCAGAATAAGCATCAGCATCATCAGCAGCATGATCGTCAGCACCATCAACATCATCATCATCGTCATCATCGTCGTCGTCAGCAACAGCATCTTCATCATCATCACCGTCACCATCACCATCACCATATAACCTCATGCCCGTGAGAATAAACACTAGGGGATAATAAAGTTCGGGGTTCAGGGAGAGATAATAAACGTAGCCCAGCAGACCTCAGCATAATCTCGAAGTAAGAGATGATCCAGAGGAGACCAAGCCGAGCACGTTTTGAGACATCCTTGGCGTTTAATTTTCATTGAAATATCCTCAACAATGGCTTATCTCTCATGAAGATTGTTTTTTGTAAGTGCTCTTGTAGGGTAGCTCAGGTGCCTCAATTTCCATGGATAATCAACCCCAGAGATAAGAAAGTTCAGGCGAGCGTGGGGACAGAGAGAAATATAAAAGAAGAAGAATACAGTAGAAGAATAATAAGAAAGAAGAAGAAGAGGATAATAAGAAGAGGACGAAGAAAGGAAAAATCCAAAGTTCCAAATCTATCAATTTTAATTTACAAACGCTTTATGAAAATTGTTTTTTTAAGTCGTGTAGGGTAGCTCATGTGCTTCATTTTCCATGGATAATCAACCCCAGGGGTAAAAAAGTTCAGGCGAGCGTGAGGACAGATAGAAATATAAAAGAAGAAGGGGAAAGTAGACAAATAATACGAACATTGCTCGTTTCGTTTGAGTCTGCCTCCCAAAATTATTGGTTTCGCTTGACACATCCTGAATAAGTGTGATCGCTTCGCTTGATGTTGCTATATCAACATCGCTTGATGTTGCTATCTCAACATAGCGTTTCGAGGTGATAACGAAGTTAGGCCTCAGCGCTCGCCGCCCAATTTGAATTTTGTATAGGGCGACGATAATCAACTCTAAACACTGAAGGGGGGGGGTCCCTTTATTATCATCGGCATGCGGTTAACCATCACCATCACCATCACCATCACCATCATCATCATCGTCATCATCATCATCATCATCATCATTCGGATCATCATCAGCATCATCATCACCCCCACCATCATCATCATTCTCATCAACAGCAGCATTCTCATCAGCATTATCATCAGCATCATTATCACCAGCATCATAATCAGAACTAGCACCATCATAACCATCATCAGCACAATCACCAACACCATCAGCATTGCCACCATCATCGTCATCATCACCAAAACAGCTTCCCCCGTCATCAGCATCCTCATCATCATCAGCATCATCAGCATCAGCATCATCAGCAGCATCAGCATCAGCATCATCATCAGCATCATCGGCATCATCATCATCGTCATCATCGTCGTCGTCAGCAGCAGCATATTCAGCATCAGCATCATCACCGTCACCATCACCATCATCACCATTACCATCACCATCTCCATCACCATCACCATCGCCATCACCATCACCATCACCACCATCATCATCATCATCATCATCATCATTCGGATCATCCTCATTCTCATCAACATCATCATCATCATCAGCATCATTATCATCAGCATCATCATGCTCATCAGCATAAGCATCAGCATCATCAGCAGCATCATGATCAGCATCATCATCGTCGTCGTCAGCAGCAGCATCTTCATCATCATCACCGTCACCATCACCATCACCATCATCACCTTCACCATCACCATCACCATCACCATCACCATCATCATCATCATCATCGTCATCATCATCATCATCATTCGGATCATCATCAGCATCATCATCACCCCCACCATGATCATCATCATTCTCATCAGCAGCAGCATTCTCATCAACATTATCATCAGCATCACTATCACCAGCATCATAATCAGAATTAGCGCCATCATAACCATCATCAGCACAATCACCAACACCATCAGCATTGCCACCGTCATGATCATCATCCTCATCATCGCCAAGACAGCTTCCCCCTTCATCAGCATCCTCATCACCACCACTACCATCATCATCATCAGCATCATCGTCATCACCACCACCACCACCATCAGCATCATCATGATCAGGCCACCATCACCACCATCATCATCATCATCATCACTATCATCATCACAATCACTACCACACTCACCATCATTGCCATCCTCATCATCGCCATCCTCGTCGATTGAACACGGACTCGCAGATTTTGGTTCCCGCCCGCGCAGCTGAACGCCCCCACGTCCTTCACCGGGGCCCGCGTCCGTAGACAAGCCGCATGACCCTGCGGCCTCCCAGGCTCCGAGGCACGCCAGTAGCGGCCAGCGCTGCCGCAGCCGCCTGGGCAAGGGCCGCGCCCCCGGCGCCGTCTTCGTCGGCCAGCGCTGCGTCGCCAGCAAGGCCACCCCCGGCGGCCGGCGCAGCGTCGCCCCCAGCGCCCCCATCCGGGCGGCCCTCCAGGTGCACCTCGGCAGTGCTCCCCCGCTCTGGGCGCCGCAGCGGCGCCGCCGAGGCCAGCCGCGCCGGCGCCTGCGCCCGGGTCTGCTTCGGCCGCGCCGACCCGCGCCTCGAGGGCCATCGCTGCTGCCCAGACCGCCAGGGAAGCGGCCGCGCCGCCCGCGCCGCCGGGCCCGCTCTCCGCCTCTGGGGCAGCTGTAGCGGCGCCAAAGGCCAGGCCCGCAGCGGGCTCCGCTTCGGGGCTGCGGCCGCGCCGTCAGCGCCGCCAAAGCTCGCTGCGCCAGCGTGCGCCGCGTCGCCAGCAGAGCCGACCGCGGAGGCGATCGCGCCAGCCGCGCCGCCGCCCTCCATCACGGGGGCAAGCCCAGCCAGTCTGGCCTGGCTTTAGCGTCGGTTAAACGGTTCGCCGACCCCCCTATCATCACCCCCCAAAAAAAAACACGCCCATGTGGGCAAGGGGCACGCCGCTCTCTCTCTCTCTCTCTCTCTCTCTCTCTCTCTCTCTCTCTCTCTCTCTCTCTCTCTCTCTCTCTCTCTCTCTCTCTCTCTCTCTCTCTCTCTCTCTCTCT